TGAGTGGACCATTGAGGCCCGGGACGTTGAGCTGCTGGACCAGCAGGTGCTCAAGGCCACCCGGCAGATGATCAGCCCGGTGCTTTTTGAGGATGATGCCCTGGCCAAGCGCTTGGAGAAGGCCGGTGCCAACGGCAAGGTCGCTGCTGAGGCTGCCTATCTGCTCGGTCTGTGGGTTGCTGGCGGATCAAAGGACCGTGCTCAATTCTCTACTGAGCTGGTCGACCGCATTGCTGCCTTTGGTAAGACGATGGGCCTCGAGACCACCAAGACCGACACCAGTGCTGTTCTGAACGGCAAGCTGTTCTGGCAGATGGTCCAGGAGACCGGTGTCCGCAGCACCGATGGATCCAAGAGCGTGCCTTCGTCGCTAGCTCGCGAGTCGATGACTGTGCGCGAGCACTTCCTGGCTGGCCTTGTCGATTCCAACGGTCATGTCCTGAAGGGTAGGACTCTTGCTGCCAGCATCAGCACTGACAGCGCATCTGTCTGTGGCGGTGTGGTTAAGCTGGCTCGCTCGCTGGGTATCCGTGCCACGGCTGAGTCGTCGACTGTTCGTCTGGCGGGCGACAGTGCACTGGCCTCTGTACTGAGCAAATGTGCCAGCCCCAGCAACACTGTTCCTGCCCCCAGCAGCGTTGAGCGCAAGGCACAGGCCACATCTTTCGACATTACTCAGCTTGAAGCTGACGACTACTTTGGTGTCACCCTGGCCGATGGCTCCGACCACCAGTTCCTTCTGTCCAACATGGCATTGGTGCACAACTGCGGTGAAAGAGGCAACGAAATGGCTGAGGTCCTGATGGACTTCCCACAGCTTACTACCGAAATCGACGGTCGCCATGAGCCGATCATGCAGCGCACGACGCTGATCGCCAACACGTCCAACATGCCAGTCGCGGCACGTGAGGCATCCATCTACACTGGTATCACCGTGTCCGAGTACTTCCGTGACCAGGGCAAGCATGTGGCCATGATTGCTGACTCGACATCGCGCTGGGCTGAGGCGCTGCGTGAGCTTTCAGGTCGCCTAGCCGAGATGCCTGCCGATTCGGGATACCCTGCCTACCTGGGTGCCCGCCTGGCCTCGTTCTACGAGCGTGCCGGTAAGGTCAAGTGCCTGGGTGGACCCGAGCGCTTTGGTAGTGTGTCGGTGGTCGGTGCTGTGTCGCCTCCGGGTGGTGACTTCTCCGACCCTGTTACTTCGGCCACGCTGGGCATCGTGCAGGTGTTCTGGGGTCTGGACAAGAAGCTCGCCCAGCGCAAGCACTTCCCGTCAGTCAATTGGTCGCTCAGCTACTCCAAGTACTTGAACGCCCTGGAGCCGTACTACGAGCGCTCTGACCCCGAGTTCATCAGCCTGCGCACCAAGTGCAAGGAGATCCTGCAGGCTGAGGAGGACCTGGCGGAGATTGTGCAGCTGGTGGGTAAGTCGGCGCTGGCCGAAACCGACAAGATCACACTCGAGGTCGCGCGCATCATCAAGGACGATTTCCTGCAGCAGAATGGCTACTCCAACTATGACCGGTACTGCCCGTTCTTCAAGACCACATGGATGCTGCGCAACATGATCGGTTTTTACAAGCTGGCTACGCACACTGTCGAGGCCACGTCAAACCAGGTCACCTGGGCCAAGATTCGCGACAACATGGGCGACATCATCTACCGCCTGAGCTCGATGAAGTTCGAGGACCCGGCCGATGGCGAGGATATTCTGGCCGAGCGGTACACGCAGCTGCAGAAGGATATGGAGGAGCAGTTCCGCGCTCTCGCTGACTAGATTGACAGCGGCGATTAGCTCATTTGCAGACCTTTTCTTCCAATATTACTTCCACACCACTACATCCACAGCTATATCCTGGTGACTTTGGTCGGGCCAAGACTATCGATCAATGCAGTAATACCTTTGAAGTTTGGCCATCATTTCTCTGAGCTATTTGAACCGCCGCATACCAGAGTCCCCAGCACATTCGCAGCTTATTGATCAAGAGCTGAATCCAGACGAGTCACCCTCCCAGGAGGAACCTGTTTAACATGCCGCTTGGCGCATGCCACTTGACGCATGCCACTTGGGAACTTGGTTTATAATTTGGCTGATTAGATGCACGAATTTGTCTGAGAATCCATCATAGGGTGTTCCTTGGTTACGACGAGCATAACTGCAGACTGCTCACAGGAATATAAAATATGCAAGGTTAGATATAAGGCTAAGTGCCATGCTGTGCCGTGCTGTGCTGTTATTTTTAATATTTTCTCTCTCTCTCTCTCTCTCTCTGTCATACATCGGTGTGGGTGGTCCTGCTACTTAGTATCCATACATGGAAGTGATCTCTTTACTTGAAAAAAAAAATAGCGCCCACTGCCTGACTAGGACCTTAGACAAACGATTCTTTCGCAGAGCACGCCGATTTGCACTAGAAGACTCATTGTACTGCTTCTGAAGGGCAGCAGCGGCAACGCATGCATTGCAGTATATGTGGATCCGGAGCTTGGACTGAAAGTCCCGAGCAATAAAAGTTTGGCATCGCTCGAATTCCACACCGGCAGGCCAAAAACAATGTTTAGCACTGAAGCATGCGGAGATGGAGCAGCGAGAATCAGTATGAACAATGACCGTGCATGTGGTGTCAGTCTGCTCCAAAATCAGGGACTATTGGCATGAGCAGAACAAGCATTTTTGGTTGCGCAACAGGAGCTTAATTAACCGAAAATGGCAGCTACACAATGATCCGCAGCAGCACGCAGCGTAAGGCCACGCACAAAACACTTGACAGTGACAACCCGCTGTTCTGCTTGCTTCGAGCATGCAGGGGATGGAGGGGATTTTGACAGTATGGACTGTGAGCAGCATAAAAGCAGGCGTGCATTTCCAGCCAAGACACTGTGTAAGCCGCATGGAAATAGACAATGCAAATGGCACTGCAAGCCTTTTGAGCAGGGCAGGATGCACTCCTTATTCGCTGTGGCAGCACCCAAGACCTATATGCGGAGCAGAGTTGCAAATAAGAAACGTCACCATCGACAACTACAAGCCAACTGAGTAACGAGTGATTTGTCTGGAAAAGAGGGACAGCGCAAAATGACCATGATTTGGCAAAGCGGCTTTACCGATCGCTCATGCAGCCTGCCGGCATGAGCGCCATTCAGCAAAAACCGAGCAGATGGTATAGTACACAGGAGGAGCTGCACACCTTTTTGGGCTCAAGAACCTAGCCCCAGCTCTATAGCACAGAGAGGGTGGCATCTGGGGCGCCTTAAACCACCCCTGGATCCAAATATAGACAGCAGCCCATTTGCTGATCACATGTGTTGCTGCTCTCCTTGTGTGTGGGTAGCAAGTATCCCCGACCACATTTGTGGCCAGATGTCACTCTCTTGGGGAAATGTGGGCGGAGGCGATGTAGGTAGGCGCCCCCTTACTCGCCTGTGCAGCCAGGCTTGACGTTCTCCATAGCTGATCAGTATTTCTATTCCAGAAAAGGAACTTGATGGCACTGACACCTAGAGGGTTGCAGATTGTCAGTGACATTTTGGTGACCTCTACGGAATGTTGGTGCCGACCTGCGTCCATGAGCATTTAGATATGTACATATAGCAAATTATATATAAATGAATACATTTGTCAAACCGTAAATGAGCTAGTATTCACATAAAAGAAATGGGTATGCAGAAACGATGGATAGAGGCCAGGGGAAATGGGAAAATGCATCGATAACCTGAACTGAAGCAGGTACAATGGCTAATTGAAGTGACAAAAAACCATCAGCAGCTTAGTCGTGCACCGAAACACGGCATATACACAAGCCACATCTACCTGCATGTGCAAAAAGGGACTGCCGACAGAGTGAGTTCAAGCAAGTACAGTAGACAGTGCCGCTGCAGTCGCCGTCCTACAAATCCTGGCTGCGCAAGCATCCTATGTGTCCTGTACTTTTGCCATTTGGGCATTGTTTTTTATACTTACACCTAACATTTAAACCATGTCTGCCAAACGCACGAGCAGTATCTCACTCAAGAACAGTCCAGGAAAGCGCCTGAGAGGGGGCGACGTGAGCAAAGCGCTCAGTCACTCACCGGTGCCGTCAGCGCCAAACGACAACACGTTGCAAAACAGCAGCAGCAACAGTAAGTACTGGAAACATCTTCGTACATTTTTAGCCAAAAGAGCATGTCTACTAACACAACACTTGACAAATAGGCAGCAATCGAGGACAAGGGAAGAGACAGCATCGTCGTCACCGGCAGACCGAGCTCCTGCAAAGGCCCCTGGATAAAGACCAACTGCAGAATCGCTTCTTAACCAAAAAAGAGATCCAGGCAAAGCGCGAAGAGCTCGCCGAGGGCGTTGTCTCTGGCCAACTCATCGAAGATGCCGACCAAATCCACGTTATCATAGCTCCGAGGGGAGAGGCGGGTAGTGTTTCTTCATCCATAGCCGACATTATCCACCTCGAGCTGGAACATTTGCTGGACCCCAATGCAGATGGTTCTGATGCGAACAGCATACTCACTCACACCATGAACCTGCTGTACAAGGACGCCAAAGACGAAAGGCCGCGCTCGCGTCGACTTCGAACCAGAGGGTATAAGGCTAAAAGGAGGGAGTTCCTCGAAAGTCTGCGAGGAATCCTGGAGGAGCTGCAGGTGTGGGTCCGCCATCACAACAAGGGCAAGGCCGGCGGCAAGAAAGAAACGAAGTTGTACACCCCCTTCCAGTCCTTCGTTCACTTTGTTGCCCCATTTGTCAAGTTCCTCTTTGACAAACTTGGTCTCGGTACGCTTTTCCCTTCTGTTGTTCATCAGCGCTGCATCATCTGCTATCCGAAGACGAACAGAAAGCCCCTATGTGGCGACGACGACCGCAAGATTGACATCGGGTTGACCACCTGTCGACCTGGCGATTTGGAAGAGCAGCTGCCTGATATGTCCTATGCAGATATATTCGCCATTGTCGAGGCAAAGTACTCAAACACCCGCAAGGACAAGAATGACGCATACAAGCAGCTTGTGGACTACTCGCGCCACATGTATGCCGCCCAGCCGAATCGCCGCTTTATTCTGGGACAGACCTCCTGTGGAACTGAAGTGCGGGTCTGCTTGTTCTCAAACGACTGCATATTTGCAAGCAACCCCATGGACGTGTCAACAAGCGCAGGTCGTCGGGGGTACATTGGGCTGCTGGTGAACCTCTCGCTGTGCGACAAAGACCAGCTGGGGTATGATCCGACGATGACCTGGGATAGAGAGCATGAGTACTGGATCATCGAGTGCCCTGACACTCCAGGTGAGTCGTCAGGCAGCCAGGCAACAAAAGCGTACTACTTCAGAGATGAAGTTGCCAAAGCTGATAACCTTTTCGGTCGGCACACGAGGTGCTTTTTGGCAACAGATGAGGACCCTGCTGGTGACAGAATCAAGCCCAAGTTTGTTGTGAAGGATGCATGGCCGGAGGTTCTACAGGATCACGATGACACCCGGGACGAGGTGATGTTTATGCGCAGAATCACAGAGGAACTTGCGAACTCAAATGTCGAGGACCTGGTCTATCCAAGGCTCGAAGCCGGTGGTCGCGTTTCGTTCGATACTGACGGGGGTCGATTTGAGGACAACACGAGAAATGCACTGGGCCCGCTCTACTCACTGCGCAAGCCAGACAATGCAGCAATTCCGTTCCGCGTCCATAAACGTCTGGTTATGTCACCGATTGGCGAACCGCTGGAAACCGTCGAGCCTGTCCACGAGCTCATTGTTGTGCTAGGCGATGCGATGCGCTGCCACACCGAGGTTCTGCAGCGGTGCAACATCCTCCACCGCGACATCTCAGACAACAACATCCTTGTCGTGCGTGAGGAGGGCAAACAACCCCGTAGACTACTGATAGATTTCGGCTGCGCAGTGGATGTAAGTGAGCATCAAGCACTGAATCCAGGGACTGTAGGGACACTCCCCTACAGGAGCATCAACAACCTACTGGATGCAGATATAGAACGGACAGAGTTGGACGACTGGGAATCGCTACTTTACCTACTGTGCCATTTCGCAACAGTCGGTGTCAGAGAGGATCGCAAACGATCTCAGGCAGATATGGATGGTCTACTGATTAAAAAATGGCACACAAGAGATGCTCAAACCATCGGATATTTAAAGCTAGAGATTATGGCATCACTTCCTGACTTTGAATGGTGCATTATCCGTCATTTCAACAGTGACCAGCCTAATGTCGAGGATGTCCAAGCATTAGCAAGAGATATCTGCACCAATCTGTTTTGGAACCCGATCCTCAGCGACAATCGTTCCAAAGGCGCTATATGTGTATGTATTGATGACATGTGGTTTGACCCATTTGAGGAGCGAGTGAGAGAAAAGGACGCACTTGTCGCAACCCTTATGTATGCTCTAAGCATTGCTAGAAAAATGTCCAGTTCTTTTCTTTAAACACTCCAAAATACATCTACTAGACTTATGGCACTCGCGATGCGAGCTTGTGGTGTTCGGGCCACCACACGGACAGAATCACCCGAGATCTGGCCGTACCCCTCATTCTCATCTATAAAAGGCAAATGTGTTGGCCACACAGATAGATTCTTCAGGTTTATTCTTTTACTCATTATACAAACATGCCAAGCCCGCATTGCGACCGCCACAAGTCTAGCGAAACCTTATGGAAAAGTAAAGACAGTTCCGTTATCGATTGCTGTGCCATCAATAGGCTAGAAATTTTTCCATTAACTTGAGTCACAGATACTGTATATGCTGTTGAATATACCAGGTTAATGTGCGTGGGGCTGCAGGCATATTGGCTGGGGTTGCATCCACACCAGGCAGCAGCGACTACGCTCTAACAATTAACAAACTTCTGCTGCTTTGGGATTCTATAAATAATTCTGACAGAATAATTTCGAGAATGGTTGTAATTTGGTGACTAGCCTTAGTATCTGGACAGAATAGCTTCCAACTTTATAGCGATGACTGAGATTGAATTTTCATATGGTCCGCACTAGCGTTGACACCGACATATTATGATGACCAACTTTGCACGCAAATATACCGCCAGCAGACAGTCTACATGTGACATGGCTCACTTATATAGGGGAAACTGCCATGCGCCTCCCTGAAGATGGAACTACGAACATGAGGTCAACAAAAAAATCTATGCCAGCAGTGGTCATTGAAAAGTAGATGACTGTCGTGCTTATATGCCTGAGGTCCTCTACAGAGCTGACTTTTGTGTACCGAGTGTCTAGGAAATTTGACACACATTAGCCACCCAATTTCACTCACTCTGTGTTTTACTCACAGAAGCCTTAGGTGCACGTAGATAGGTGCATAAGGGCCAGCTTCATGCCTCAATGCACTGCTGTAGCCACTGCTATTGCAAGGCATAGGGGCACAAGGGACTGATCGTGCCTACAATCGTTGTGAAGATCAAATTAATATGGCAGCGCTGGACTCGTGCCCAGACGGTGGACCTATTTATAAACCGGCGATGCATGAAACATGGGGAGCACTGGAGCCGCCATTGCTTTCAATAGACCATTGATCGCCGCAAAAACGGGACCGGATAAGCTAGGAAAAAGACCAGGATTCCTAGCAGCTCGCATTGTGGTCCAACGCTACATTCACTGATTTTTTAGTCGATCCCCTCAGGCTTAGACATTCTACTGAACGTCTGTGACAGATCTACCAGGTGCATTTGCGAGCACTGTGAACTGGTGTAGGTTCGTGTCCAGCCCTTGCGCTGCCTATTGTCTTGCAGCAAAACACTATCATCGCTACCGCCATTGAGAACGCATCTGCATGGCTACGCGCTATGTCGCTGCTACGTGACACTTCCGACATCAAGCAACAGGTGTCCTGCAGTATGCGCGCCAGACTGGAAAAGGTGCCCCGAGTGCAACAAATGCTAAACGAAAAGTATTAAAAGCTAAACCCCTGCAAGCTGGAGTTCCATTGGCTTGGGCTGGAGCTCGCAAGGCCAGACGTCTCAGGGACCGGTCGAGTGTCCCAAAAAAAATCAGAAGCGAGGCCAAAGTTTCGCGCGTCGACGAGTGCAAAAGAGAGCGTTTTGTGACCAGGCGAGAAGAACGGGCTGGCGAATAGCGGGTTTCTCTTCTCTTTCCGGGTGTTTTTCTCTTCTTTTGCTCCCTCTAATACTACTGTTTTTTTCACTTCTATTTGGCTCGATTGGAACGCAATCTGTGCAAATTGCTGCTCTGGTCTCACAAAAGCTTATTTCGCTTGACGCATACAGGCTGGTCGGAAAACGGACAGACAGCTGCCGCCTTCTTCACTTCTCACTTCCTTTCTTCTCACTTCTCATTGTTGCACCTAAACCCCACTACGCAAATTATGCTCGAACAGCAAGGCAAGGTACGGAACCAAGCATAAACCAGTGTGTATTGGCATGTAACAATGCTGGGAGTCCTGCTGCTAACCTTGGTAATACTGGTAGGCCGCAAAATGGGAGTTGCCGGGCCAAGGTCAATCGTGCACGCAATGCACCGCCGCTGGCTGGTCTTGGAGGGCGGTTCAGCGTCGCCCAGGTTGACGAGGTTCCGTCTCTGCGAGTCGCAAGAAGACCCCAATCGTCGCGCCACAGCACTGGCGGCAAGCACGAGTTCCGGATGCTGCCTCAAATACTAGGTAGGTTTTACTTGCATGCTAGGACCGCTACCACTATTGCAACCACCAGCTTGTGTGGGTTTAAGGCTTCTCTGAACCCCATGAGCCTTGTCATGGGCAAAGGTGCATGTGCTATTCGGGTGTCCTGTTTCATTTTTCTGCACCTGAGTTTGTCTGCTGCTTCTTTCTTCGCCCCCATTCCGAAGGGGCTAGGATTGTCCAAACCTGTGTCAGCATGTCGCTTGGCCCTCGCTAAGCCAACAGCTCCACCAGCTCCACCAGCTCCACCAGCTCCCAGGGACTGCTCGTTACGCGGGCGTGGCCGGTACACCAGGCTTTTCTGCTGCTGGCCTCCTCCCTGTGCAATTCTTTGCCGTTGTTTAGTGAGCGCAGTAAACGAACGTGCAGTAATTTCGTCGAGGGGGAAGGGAAAGAGGAGCAAGCGGGATGTGGCCAAGTAACCCTTGGTGCGCTTACTTTCGCACCTTGTTATTCTGTTTTCCTGCTCCCATTGATGACCTGGCATGCGGCCTGGGATGCAGACGACTTCCTCTTTCTCCTTTCTGCTCCTGCCTCTCGCCTTCTTTTACACCCCTTTTGCACTGCCTGTCAACGGAGCGCCTTGCTTTCATTTGTCAACCCTTTTAGCACCACACACCTTCATTTAATGCGCCAAGTGCTTGTGTCGAAGCCCAACCACCACTATGGTATTAAAAAACCCGCCCGGTACGCGCCAAAATATGTAGCCCACGACCTGACAGAAGCAGAGCGCAAGCAGCTGTTCATCCAAAAGATATACCAGTGCGTGACCATCTTTGACTTCCAGGACCCGGAGGCAGAGCTGGAGGGCAAGGAGGCCAAGCGCAGTACTCTGGAGGAGATTCACGACTACATCACCTCGCGCACTGGCGTAATCACAGCCGACGTGTACCCGGCTATTTTTCAGATGGTGCAGGCAAAACATATTCCGCGTCATCCCACCCCAGGTCAATGCGTTTGGCGACCCGTTCGACCCCGAGGAGGATGAGCCGCGCGACGAGCCGGCATGGCCGCATCTGTCACTAGTGTACCACATTTTCCTGCGGTTCCTCGAGTCGGGGGATTTCAACAACGGGCTGGCACGCTCGTTTATCGACCAGGCATTCACGACGCAGCTGCTGGACCTGTTTGACTGCGAGGATGTGCGCGAGCGTGAGCTGCTGAAGACAGTGTTGCACCGGATATACGGCAAGATGCTTGGCATGCGGTCGTTTATTCGGCGCTCCATCAACAACATCTTTCTGCAGTTCATATACGAGACGCAGCGTCACAACGGAATTGCCGAGCTGCTCGAGATCCTAGGCAGCATTATCAACGGGTTCACGGTTCCGCTAAAGGAGGAGCACAAGAACTTTTTGCATCGCGTCCTGTTGCCCTTGCACAAGGCGCGGCCAATGGGTCTCTACCACCCGCAGCTGACCTACTGCACTGTGCAGTTCCTGGAAAAGGACCCGGCGCTGGCAACTACCATCATCAAGGCCATGCTCCGGTACTGGCCCAAGGTCAATAGCCCAAGGAGGTCATGTTCCTGAATGAGCTCGAGG